TGATCCACGCGTTCAGCTAGATCCCGCCATTTTCGCATAAAGCAACGCGGACGCGGCACTCCGATATTCAGTTGCAATCGATCATTGAGGAATTCTATGACACCTTGATATTCCATAAGAAGTGGCACTCGATATATAGATGTTAAATCGTGAATAGTTATAACCTGGCCGAGTCGTAAAATTTAAAGATATGTTAATCATTCATGTTTTCATAACAATATATATCCTGCAACGATATTGTAATACTAAGATATATATTTTCTAATGATTACCTGCTCCGGGGCCACATCGCAGAATTTTGAAATTTTCTCTTTGACGGAATCGCCAATGGGGTTTTCCGACCTACAGACTATAAGATCGGGCGACAAACCTAATCCTCGTAGCTCTCTGACACTAGATTGCGTCGGCTTGGTCTTGTGTTCACCCGTCGATTTTGGCTAAAAGATATTCATATTTCTATAACACTGATTGGTAACACATACCACAGATGCGGATTGGATTTCTCGAGTCGATTTCCTGTAAAAATTTTTGGCCGCTGAATTCGAATCTATCAGTGAAATTTTTCTATCACATCAGCTTTATCGCCTATTTTGTCATTTGTCAAAAAATGACCTACGTTTTTTTTTTTTAACATTTGATTATATATCCTCAATTTTTTTCCAAAACTACAGATGTGATAGAAAAATGACAGAATCGGATTCAGTGGTAAAAAATTTACAGGAAATGACTCGAGAACCCCAATCCGCATTTGATATGTCGACCAGTGTAATTGTTCAGAAGAAGTTAGTCCCGTAAAAATTGCTCACGGAGTTTTGTAAAAATTATTCGTGCACTTATCATTGAACACACTTGTAAAAGAGATATTTATATGGAAATGTAAAGATCGTAAAGCATGGAACAGTTACCTGCGGCACTAAAGACACATGGGCCACGCAAAAGTTTTCTCTGTTCACTCTACGTTGAAATTGTCTGAATGCTTCTACAAACGGCATTCCATCTATATCCCCTATTGTCCCTCCTAATTCCACTATGCACACCTATAAAATTATTAACATGCAATTAGAATAATTATATTATTATGAATTTATACGTATAAAAATTAGGTAATTATGCATAAAAGGGGCCTCCTCTCCGAATTCAATGACTTTGAGATATGTTGTCAAGGTCACCCTCCTGAGCGGGGAGGCTCATGGTAGATATCTCAAGTTCCCGGGGAGTGGCCTCCCCGCGGTAGCGCCGTGAGAGACCCCCGGCGGAGTTTTAATGGGTTAGACTCCCACATAACCGCCCTCCTCGCCCCGCAGGAAGGGGTATCCGTGTGGATTTCCTTCCCGTCAACAAAAAAAAGGTCACCCTCCTGACCTCCTGAGTGACCTTCAGAAGTTTTTAGCCGCCGATCATTGTTAATTAAAAAGTTATAAACAAAAAAAGTTTGAAAAATATAGCAGCTATTTTGAGTATTTGAAGACATAAATGACTATAATATATATGTCAAAATAGTTCACGCATACATCACTTTCCACGCGAAACGAGGTGCCACATGGGTTCGTGGCGCGCTTTACAAGCTCGTTTATTGTACATCGCCACAAATATTCACACAGATGATCGACTAACTTTATCTTCTTTAATACCACCTCTACTAAACGAGCTTGTAAACGCGTCACGAACCCATGTGGCACCTCGTTTCGCGTGGAAAGAATATGCGTGGACTATTTCGACATATATATTTGTCATTTATGCCTTTTAATACTCACATATATTCAATATACAATTTATCAACAATTTACTGCTTTAAATGTTGTGTTTTGGTAAAGCAGCAACTTTTCCGCGAAATGAAGTATTCTCTGCTTTAACAAAAAGACTTCAATTTATCAACAATTTACTGCTTTAAATGTTGTGTCTTGGTAAAGCAGCGACTTTTTCGCGAAATAAGTATTCTCTACTTTAACAAAAGACTTCAATTTATCAACAATTTACTGCTTTAAATGTTGTGTTTTGGTAAAGCAGCGACTTTCTCGCAAAATAAAGTATTCTCTGCTTTAAAAAAAAAAACGTAATATTAGTCGTTTATGTCTCTCAGTACTTATAATAATTGCTATATTTTTCAAACTTTTTTTGTTTATAACTTTTTAATTAACAATGACCGCCGGCTAAAAACTTCTGAAGGTCACTCAGGAGGGTGACCTTGACAACATATATCAAGGTCATTGAAATCGGAGAGGAGGCCCCTTTTATGCATAATTACCGAGATAATTACCAAAAATTGTTTAAGGAATATTATTAAAATTTATATTCGTAGATCTAAATAATCTTGTGCCATTATCTAATTGTACATAATAATATTAATAATAATTTGATGTATTAACTATACCTCTGGTATAGCTCCATCTTTTGTTACAGATTGATTCGCGATTTTTTCCACCCATTCCTGAATAGCATCGGTGATATAGGGCACCACTAACAATAAGAAACGAAATATTGCTTTTCATTAGCTTATGTAACTCATCGTACTCATTAGATATCTGCAATATTATAAATAAACTTGTAACCTTGTACTGTTTTGCCTAAGTAGTCTCCTCGTCTCTCGTTCGTAATAACGTACTGATAAATTTTTCCAGTCGTTATGTTATTGTCCTTGTGAAGAGTGATGTCCAGGAAACGTTCGTAATTACCTAAATCCAGATCCACTTCCCCGCCATCGTCGAGTACATAAACTTCACCTGTTTCACAGAAAGAAGAGAATGTACATTTATAGAAGAGAAAGACAGCAAAGGTGCAGAAACAAAAGCGGATGCGTCTACAGGAAACCAGTAACATAAGAATGTTTTCCTTCCAGGAATACCTACTGGATAACTGCTTGAACAATGAGATAGATGATAAGCATCATATTTTATTGGAAATTAGAAACCATTCTTAACAAGTGGCAAACATAACTATACCAGCATAAATGTTCATAATGCATAGTTTACAGCGTTTTTGCGTATGACCAAAAGCTGTTTCCTATTACTTTTATTGCTCCGAATACGAATAGTTCCGTGAAGTGGGCACCCGACTTTAACAAAATGAATTTTTAAAAAAAGGAAATTGTAGCATTTTCTTTGTAGTTG